TGCTTGTCTTTTTTTCTTTTTTTTATCTTACACTGTATCATCACAGCAAGGTGTCCCGGTGGTGCAGTGCCTAGCCTGTCCCAGACCTTTCTGTGTGGGCATGTTCTCCCCCGTGTCTGTGTGGGTTCTCTCTGGGTGCTCCGGCTTCCTCCCGCAGTCCAAAGACATGCATAGATTAATTGGTGACTCTAAATTGCCCCTAGAGGTGTGAATGTGTGTGTGTCTGTATGTGATAAACTGGCTACTTTTCCAGGGTGTATCCCGCCTCCCACCCGGTATCAGCTGGAATAGGCACCCCCGCAACCCTGCACAGGTAAGCTGTTATAGACTGAATTGTTCATAAAATATGGCAACAATTAGTTTAAATTCTCTTAGTTTTGATGACGACACTAACTGGTGCAGCCATGGGAGAAGTGTATTTCCGTGTAGACCATGTGACTTCATACACACAGCTGTAGTTGCCCTGGTGTTCGTACTCAGCAGCAGGGAAGTTAAAGGAGGCTGAGTGGTTGACTGCTGGCTTGGGGTCAGTGATGTTGGAGCCAGAGAAGATGAGGAAGAAAACACCAGTGGGATAGTGGGAGGAAGTGGAGCAGGTGAAGACAAAGCTGTCCCCCTGGTGACCTCTGAACCTCTGTTAGGAGACGTCAGGGAGATGCTGGGCGGCTGCAGTCTCACTGGGTAAAAAAACACACCACAGAAATGTTTGACCACACAACAAAAATCTTTAAATATTTTGTTGTTCAAATTTAACAGTATTTTTTAAAATTTCCCACCATGATGGTGTAAATGCTCTTTTTAAAGAATCTACAGTACCAGAAATGTATTTGCTGTAGCATATTAAATTTCTGAATTTGATTGATTGGTGTAATGTTCAAAACAAACTGTGCACAGAGTGTGTGGGCATCTCCATGTGTAACAGGGTTAAAAATGCACTTTAATAATAATAATAATAATAATAATAATAATAATAATTCTTATTAGGGGTCCAAGCCCGAGTGGGCAGGGAACCCGTGAATGCAAGGCATCGTGGTTCCCAGTACCAGTGGAGCTGGGAACCCTATTGGAATCGTTTTATTATTCCGCAGCTAAAACTCATACTGCAGCCTAGACGGTAAGTGCTACAGACACTAAACTCATAGGGTAGGTCCAAACCACTGCAAGTACCTCAGGCGAAAAAATCCGCACACTTCTACCACTAGGGGGCGCTATATACGCATTTGCCCTTGGAACTCCCGCATACGAAGGCGCATATCGAGGGATCGAGCTGAATCTAATGGTATAGGCCACGCCCATTTCCACCTAGATTTTTTTTCCGCTAAATCGCAACAACTGAAAAACCTATTTTAATTAACTCCACGAAACCACAAGTCTGATCGACACAAAAACTATTAAAATGATACGTTAATAAATGTTTGTGAAAAACGCTATAAACAGGAAGTTATGTCATACCTTAGGTTGGGAATGGCCGATCAACACCAAACTTCAGGACCTTATGTGTCATGCCCCCCTGAGGGGCTGTGCAAAATTTGGTGCAGTTAGCCGCTAGTGCAATTAACTCCTCCGAAGCCAAAAGTTCGATCGGTACGAAACTTGGCAGAGACCATCTCTGAACCAAGCCGAAAAAGGTTCTAGAGGGGATTTTGATCCGCTAAAAAACGTCCGAATTATAAGCTAACAAATGTTTGCGCAAAACGGTAAAACAATGTCATGTCAGATCTTACGTCAACGGCCAATCTACACCAAGCTTCTCATCTTGCACGACCTCCCAAGGGGTTGTGTGAAATCGGCTTCTAGGTGGCGCTATTCATTGGAAATCAAATAACACTCCCATTGACATACATTCTTTTTATATCTCCGTAACCGCAACTCCCTTTAATTTATAACTCATCGTTTCTTCTCCGCGGGCCCCCCGAGCCGCAGCGGGGCGCCCAGGCCAACTCCCGCGACCTCCGCGGGGCGAGGGGACAGCTTGCGCCGGGAGGCTTGGACCCCGATTACAACTGCTTGCAGTTCTAGTTTCCAGTTGGTATTTATTTTTCCCAGGGTTATTTTTATTTACTGTTTCCTGTGGAAACTGTCCGAGATGCATCTCTGCTGTATCTACTAAATTTCCGTCGTTCTCCGTCTGCCCCTCAAAGCGCAGTTTAGCATTGCTGAGGATAAATTGTGGAAAAACACCTCTGTGCTATTGTGTTGTTTTCTTTGAAAATTGAACCGTCTTGTTCAAGCTTTTAATGCATATTGTTTACTGTTTCTACTATTAAGTCACCTGTTTTGACCGTTTTGAGGTTGTTTTTACCTAGATTACTGGGTGCCATTTGTATCACAGCAGGCGACCTGTGCCATGTAGTCAACGTAGCGCCACACAGATCTTAGCATCCATTTCCTAGTGTAAGTTCAGTTATTATGGAGCTTAATGGACCAGTCTGGTGTGTGTAGAGATGGTGTGCTTATTTTGTAGCACACAGGTGTCATTTGCATGTGATTTAGTTTAAGATAAACACAGTCGCTGTCACGACTTCAGCCAGTTCATTCTGCCATTTACTAACTCTCCCTGACATTACAGATCCTGCCCCTCCATGCTGCCCTGCAGTAACCCCTTCTTGCTTCCCATCTTATTTCTAATCAGCCTTGCAGTGCATATACCGCCCCATCGCTCATCATTCCCTGCTTTGCTCTGCTTTTCAGCCTTTGTTTCTGCCTCCCTGACTCTGGCTGGCAAACCCTTGTCAGACCCTGAGTTTGAGTTTGTCCTGTTTGGAGCCCTTACAGTGGACATCGCTTATTTAATCCGACCACATGGATAGGGAAAGTGAAGTTAAAGGTTAGCGCTGCTGGAGCTGGTTCTTACACCTCCACAAAAATAGGACCTACTGGCTGTAATTATTATCAGAATCAGCCTGTGATTGTAGAATGGAAAGAGTTGATTAAATATCCTGGTAACAATACAGAGGACATGACCTCAGTACGTATGAGCTTTTCCAGTTAAATTTAAGAAAAAAAGTAAGGCTAACTATATCCATCAAGAAGCTCTAGTAAATCATATCAGTACTGGATTCCCTGTTGGTCTTTGAGGCTGTGTTTGGTCCTATTCATGCCGTGTTCACTGCTGAGCGAATTGCCGGCGCTGCACCCCGCCATCATTCCATGCCAGGCCCCCCGCCCCTGGCCTGAAAACCTCCAGTGCTTGAGTAAAGGTGTAAACACCTTCATACAGTCTGTGGTAAACACAAACACTCCCCTGGTGCTCCGAGCTCCCAGTATGGGCAGAGCTAATCTGACCAGTGGCTGCACAGCTAACTGAGCTAAGCACACTCATTTCTCTAAACTCTACTCACAAATCCCTTCATTTCTCATTGCCTGCACCATGTGGTCATTGAGAAAACACTGACATTCAATATTGTTCACTCAATCAGCACAGGCTGAGCTCGATTAGCACACAGGTGAACCACAAACAGTCAAAATTGATAACACACCAATCAGAAGATTCAATAGAAAGATAAAAGGCCCAATGCCAGTTCATTTAGTTTAGGAACAATGGATCCAGAGAAATCTGAAGGAAGACAGAGAGGACACCAGAGAGGAGGAGGAGACACAGTATGGAGAGGAGTAAAGCCTAGGTCACACTACACGATTTATAGCCCGATTTGTTACGTGTGAACTACTCAACGACGCATCAAAACGACTCCCCGACACATTTCTGACACATCGCCGACGTCTGCCAGAAATCCAGCATGCCAAATATCTGCCGGAGTCGGCCGACTCAACATCCATATCCAGCCAATGAGAGCAGGCAGCTAATTTTTCACTGCAAACACTTTTTACTCCGGCAGGTATAGGAGTAGGGAGGGAGGAGTAGGTGGAGAACAAGAGTCTCTGGCCTGTCATAGACCAAAGACAGGACGCTGGGGCTGAATAAGTAGTTGTTGGGTGTGTTGAACTGTTCAGCACACTAAGGAATAAAACATGAGCAAATGTTTACATTTGTTATTTCTTTTGTGTTCATCATGTGAAAAGGTTTCTGAGGGGGAGAACCATTATTACTAATAACCAGTTTTTGTAGTATTGCTTTGAATCTCTCTACCAGTGTGTCAGACCGTGTTGCAGTGTGTGTGTTTCTGAGGGCTTGTGTGTCATGTCTGAGGGCAAAGTTTGGTTTTTCAGCAAGATTGAATAGTTTTGAGTGGCGAGCTTCATTTTAAACTGAAAATAGGATGTTTGGGAAATTGGGTGAGAAGTTGTGGATTTGCGTTTAGAGTTTCTAGAAAAAGAAGCATAATTTCAAGAAATGTGTTTAAGAAATCAAGAAACTAACTTCAGCAACAAGTTAAAGCTCTCTGTCCATCAGGAAACTCTGTGAATCACAGAGTTGAGGCAGAGCAGCCGGGGGACACCAGAGAGAAAATTAGAATATATTTTCTAAATTTTTCTAATATTTCTCCATCAAATATGATCGAGTTTAACCAAAATCAGTGAAAAAGTTATTTTTGTACAGCATTCAATGGCGCCCGGTCCGTGAAACACGATGCTTCAGCAGCTTTATATTGAGAAATCTTTTCACTGGACGCTAAATTAATACAACAAGTGCAGAGTGAGTCATCAACATTTTAAAATGGTTGTCCAAATGACAAATTCTTAAATATCATCAAGAATACCTCTAAAACAACGTTTTTGTCATTGATGGGCCAGACATAGTGCAAAGCATATCATAGAAAAACATTTAAACGTGGATTTTGGGAACGGAAGATTTTGTTATTCTATGTCACACTAAGCAGACAACGCATCTTCACTTGTCTTCATTTGCATATGAAGTAATCCAAAAGTAACTAAAAGTAATCAGATTAAATTACTTTTATTTTGTGGTACTTGTATTATGTTATAAGTAAATAATTAGTAATTGTACCGGATTACATTTTTAAAGTAATCCTCCCAACCCTGTTACTGTACACTTTTCTGGGTCAATTGCTGTATTTAATTTATGTATTTAATTGTCTTACCAGTAACAGAGAGTCTGACAGAGTCACTTAAAGGGGAGCTGAAGTCTCGTCTTGAAACACTTGTCTGATACTGACACTGGTACGATCCTTCATTATCAAAGTTCACTTTAGGTATAATGAAGGTAGCAGAGTTGGTACTTGATGTTTGGGTCTTTCTGAATGAGCCTGAGGTCTGCTGCAGGATGAATGTTCCGTCTAAATGAACCTGTATTGAGATGGAACAAGTGATGCTGACGTTCTGACCCCAGGTAACCTCACCAGCAGGATTCATGGAGATGCTGGGCTTTGAGAGGCTCTCTGAAAAAATAACACAACAATAAAAATATTAAATGTATTTGTTTAGATATTTGACCCTGCCTGTCTTTTTTCAATAAGCATGTAGTGGTAAGGCAGTATAATGGGCAACTTGAATGAATGATCCACTCTAAAAATAGCCAACTCATAACGTCTTGGTTTATCTAATAGGTTTAAAGATGTGAGAATTTATAATATTATTCTGTTATTGTAATTATGATAAATATGTATATGATTCTCCTTTCCATTTTGGCTTTGTTCCCTTTTACAGATTCTGACTGAAGGAGTAGCACTTCAGAGCATAAACATATATAGAGGTAGACGCCCTATGGAACCGGTCATAGTCCCAGTTGCGCAGCTGAAGAAAGCAAGATGCCAGAGCACTGTGCAGCATATTCATGCTCAAATCGGCGGACCATCGCAAACAGGGCTCAGGGGATTACGATAAGTAAGATTTAACATTACCGTACTATTGGTTGTATTTTGTGAATAGAATATTACCAGAGAGTTGAGAAGGAGCAAGGATCTTTGATATTACTGTACTGAAATCGTAGCCAGCTAGCTAGGCTATGTTTACTGCACCGGCCGGTGTTCACCCGGCCACCCGTGCTCATTCTTCTTACTCTCATCTGTTTCTGCTTCTCTATCATATTTATAGTGTGGGATCATAGGGTGACCAGATGTCCCTGGCTTCAGGGAGTGTCCCCGTTTTTGGCTGCCTGTCCCTGGCTAAATACAGAAAAAAACTCTGAATAGAAGTAATAGTATTAGTTTAAAATAGAAAAAAAATGATAGTCAAACTGGAAATGTCCCCTTTTTTTCCCCCTTTTCAGGGATTATGTTCCCAGTTTTGATCTCGGATGTCTGGTCATAAAAGTGAAAGCATGAATAGAAAGAGTTAAGAGACACGACACACCGCACAGAAACACTGTTGCAGGCAGGTGCAAACTGATGCACATAGACACCTGGGTTGGGCGCAGGTCAGACACTGCCAGGCTTTGGTGACCAAGCATCTCTGTTACAGATGGAAATTAAATTACAGTTTTTCTCAATAGCTTGAACACTATAACCAGTCTATTAAACTAAAATTTCAAAACCACAACTCCATTTTCCAAAAAGCCCACCCATTTCTCTAAACTCTACACACAAATACCTCCATTTCTCATTGCCTGCACCATGTGGTCAGGCAATGACTTACACTACCACTATGGTTACAGTTGTGTGACCCAAATCCTCCGTGCCGACACTCAGTTAGAGACCTTTCACTTCCTGAACAGGCCACCTCATCAAGCCAGATTTGACCGGTTCCTTGACCAAAATGGGCCGACTGAGTGGCATTCAGTGCTCCACCACAGCCCAGCTGTCTGCACACCACCTTAGCATCATTTAAGTCCCAGCTGTCATCACAGACTGTTCCCCAGGTGTTGTTGTGATAGATTTCAACTCTCCAGAGCACTGAGTAGACCCGGACCCAGTTAGTCTGATCTGAACACCTTCATTGCATGTAAGACATAACAGAGAGTATTTTAAAGACCAGTGCTAGACAAGTCCTTTCCAAAATGTAATACATTATAGATTACTAGTTACTGTCAATTGAGAGTAATTAATTAGAGTACAATATTACTGTCTCTGAAATGTAATGCTTTACATTACTTTTGAGTAACTTTCACTGCTTTTTAATTGGTGCATTATGCTCATAGTAAGATGTGCCTGCATATGTGGATCAGGATCAGTCAGGATGAACTGACAGCAGCCTCTCTGATCATGAAAGTTATTTGTTAAAGCACAGACACACAGCCTACAGAAATTTGATTGATCCATCAGGGGAGCTGCTGTAGTTTGCATCCTGCCGACCATCGCATTCCAGCAACAGGAAATAATGTTACTCTTTTACTTATGGATTTGTTTTTCTGCTGCCCAAATGTTTCTTGGTGTTGGTGAATTACTATAAAAACAAAACACCACTTAATTTCGGGTGCGTTGTAACACGCGCTACTGAGATTGTGACGGTTATAATATTACCGTTTTTTTTTTAAGTAATGCGTTATATTACCGCTTTACAGCAAAAACAATACATTACTGTAATTGTATTACTTTTGTAACGTGTTACTCCCAGATCTGATAAAAAATAAAGTAAACAGCAAACTAACATTACTGTACGCATGACACAGGAGAATGAACTGACCTGCAGCAGGTGAAGAAGCGGTCAGGAGGAAAAAGACTGTGGAACAGAAGAAATGACATGGCTCATTACATTCAGTAAACTGAAAAGTGCAGAAATGAAAGTTTTCCTTGTTTCTGTTTTAGATTCCCGTGTTTCTTTTAATGATAGGAAGTTTTTTAAATGGCCTTAAGAGACTTCTGTTCTATACAATACAACAACCCTGCTGTACAAAAAAGCTGCTTTTCAAATAAAATTTTGGAAAGTCTGTCTTACCAAGGGCCAAATAGCGTAGGTTTCTCTGCTGTATGCTCCCCATAGCTGACATGACAGCTGCTCTGTGTCAATTATCAGTACCAGCACAGATTAACTAAAAACTGCAGTGCACAGAAACATTTCACACAGCTTGTCCTTCCTGAAACACTTCCTGTTTCTGGTGTTTTTTTCAACCAAAAGCTGCAGCACTGAAGTACCACATCTATCACTAGTTATGGATATTGAAATTGTTGTTGATAAACACAAAGTTCCAAAAAACTGCTTTACCTCCTCCATATATGTTTCCATTTTGTGTGTAAACTAATGCACTGCACTAAGCTATTATCTCTCTAAATGTAATCTATTTTTATGCATTATGTAATCTAATTGTTTTCAGAATAATAAAGTAGTCACTGGTATTTTTCCAACTGTATCTGATTTTATGAGGCACACGAGTCTGCAAGAAGTGAAAGTGAGCGAAAGCAAAACTATAACTGGGTTTTTCAAAAAGCACACTTCATTTCTCATTGCCTGCACCATGTGGTCATTGAGAAAACACTGACATTCAATATTGTTCACTCAATCAGCACAGGTTGAGCTCAATGAGCACACAGCTACCCAGGTGGAAACACAAGGAGTCAAAATTGATCACACACCAATCAGAAGCTTTATAAAAGGGCCAGAGTCAGTTCATTCAGTTTTGGAACAATGGATCCAGAGAAATCTAAAGAGAAAGGTCTAGGACATGAGAGAGGAGGAAGAGGGAGAAGAAGAGGAGGAGGAAGCAGGAGGAGCAGATAGATAGATAAAAGTTCAGTTCTTTCAGTTTTGGAACAATGGATCCAAACAAATCTGAAAGAAGACATAGAGGACACCAGAGAGGAGGAGGGAAGGAAGAGGAACAGTAGGAGTTGGAGGAGGAGATGGGATAGGAGTAAGATGAGGAGGAGTTGGAGGAGGAGGAGGGAAACAGAAGTTTACATTTGTTATTTCTTTTTTTGTGTTCATTATGTGAAAGGTTTTTTGAGGGGGAGAACCACAAGCAACATTACTTATAACCAGTGTTTGTATTACAAGCAATCGAGAAAAACTTTAATGCTTGTGAGACAAAGACGAAACCGCAGCACGTCCCAGAAGGCAGAAAGGCATTGGCCTATTTTAACCCGCGCAGCTTTTCTGGCATTTACTGTACTGGTTTAGCGGATCAGGAAACGGAGATTCACCAGAGCCTTTTTGGAAACTCACACGAATTGAGGAGACGAAAGGGACAAGAGATTTCACATGGCTATTAATCAAGAATGTAGAGATTTTTACATGGACGTTCCTCCCACGGGCAGTTCAAAACCAGAATATCTCATAGATCTCCAATGCTAGCTGGCAGGAGAAATCTCATGTTTGCTCATGTTTCTCACTGAACAAGAGAAAGTAGAAGTGGTAGCTCTGTAAGAGGGAATGAAAGAGAAGAGGAGGTATTACAGCTGTTCATTGTTATGATGTGTTGAGTGTTTATTATAAAATTGGTTAAGACTACACTTCATCACTTCAAGCTACACTTTGTATTACATTTTTTCTAAAAATTTGGCACTTTGTTTTAGTTTAATTAAATTTACAATTTAATATTAGAGTAGTTATTATTTATTATCCCTCCAGTTTGATGTGAAAACTGATTGAAATATTATTTGATTTGACAGTCCGTTGTTGACTAAAAACATATGTTGATACAACTATACATTATGGTACTGAATGATAACGCAAGTTAGTCGTTTTTAATATTCCAGACCTTTGCTTCGGGAAGTTTTCTCTAACTGGACCTCTTTGAATTCTAATTGAATACCCCTGGCCTAGAGAATCCGGTCAATTTTCGATCATAAAACAACAATAAATACTGTTAAATCAGACAAAGAAAGAAACCATATAGCCTACCTATTTTCTTGATTGCTTAAAAACATTTCTTGAAATTATGCCTCTTTTCCTCTAAACTCTAAACACAAATCCACAACTTCTCACCCAATTCCCCAAACATCCTATTTTCAGGTCAAAATGAAGCTCTCCACTCAAAACCATTCAATCTTGCTGAAAAACCAAACTTTGCCCTCAGACATGACACACAAGCCCTCAGGAACACACACTGCAACACGGTCTGACACACTGGTGGAATAAATTCAAAACAATACTACAAAAACTTATATTTATTATTAGTAATGTTGTTTGTGGTTTTCTCCCTCAAAAACCTTTTCACATGATGAACACAACAAAAGAAATAACAAATGGAAACATTTGCACCTTTTTTATTTCTTAGTGTACTGTACAGTTCTACACACCAAACAACTCACTATTCTGCTCTGGCATCCTGTCTTTGGTCTGAGACAGACCAGAGATTTTCCTCCTCCACCTCCTCTTCCTCCCTGCTCCTCCACTTTCTATTCCTACTCCTTTTCTACCTCCTCCTCCTATCTCTACTCCTCCTTCACCTCAGTCTCCTCTCTTCTTCCTCCTTCTCCTCCTCTCTGGTGTCCTCTACCGCTTCTCCACTTCTTCCCCTCCCTCCTCAGAGCTGGCCCCCTCCCTCCTCTCTCCATCACAGAGAGGGAAATCAACGGTCTTTTCAGGAGGCAGAAACCCCGCAAAGCAGCTGGGCTGGACTCTATCTCCCCATCCTCCCTGAAGCACTGTGCTGATCGGCTGTCTCCGGTGTTCACAGACATTTTAACACCTTACTGGAGACACGCCATGTGCCAGCCTGCTTCAAAGCCTCCACTATCATCCCTGTCCCCAAGAAACCAAGGACCAGAGACAGAGTTACTGGGTTATTGCACAGGAATTGTTCCTGACACTGTGAGTCAGAAATCAGCTGTTCATCAGAGTGGTGGTTTGTGGGAAGAAACTGTTCCTGTGTCTGTGGGTTTTGGCGTACAGTGCTCTGTAGCGCCTACCAGAGGGGAGGAGCTGGAACAGGTTGTGTCCGGGGTGAGATGGATCTGCAGTGATGTTTCCTGCCCGTTTCCTGACACTGGAAATGTATAAGTCTGAATGGAGGGCAGGTTGGCACCGATTATTGTTTCTGCAGTCCTGTCTGTTGTAGTCTGTCCCTGTCCTTTTTGGTGGCAGATCCACCAGAAACCAGACAGTGATGGAGGTGCAGAGGACAGACTGGATGATGGCTGTGTAGAACTGGATCAGCAGCTCCTTTGGCAAGTTGAGCTTCCTGAGCGGGCGCAGGAAGTACATCCTCTGCTGGGCCTTCTTGATGATGGTGTCAGTGTTGGGCTCCCACTTCAGGTCCTGGGCTATAGTGGAACCCAGAAACCTGAAGGATTCCACAGCAGACACAGGGCTGTTGAGTATGGTGATGGGTGGCAGAGTGGGGGGACTCCACCTGAAGCCCACGGTCATCTCCACAGTTTTGAGCGTGTTAAGCGCCAGGTTGTTCTGACCGCACCAGAGAGCCAGCTGATCAACCTCCCGTCTGTAGGCCGACTCATCACAGTGCAGGTGAGAGGTCAGAGGGGGAAGGTGACTGTTTGAAGATGGCGTTGGAGTGGGGGAGAGGTGTGACTCTGGGCTTTTCAAACCTACAGTACAAACCATTCATCTTGTCTGCCAGTCGTTGAGTACCAGCAGTGTTGAAGGATGGTGTCTTGTAGTTTGTGAGTGTCCGTAGGTTTCTCCACACTGACGCAGGGTCGTTGGCTGCAAAGCTGTTATTTAGCTTTTCAGCGTAGCACCTCTTTGCAGCTTTGACCTCTTTAGTCGTAGGGCGTGTTCCTGGCCTGGTTGTACAAGACTCTGTCCCCACTTCTGAAGGCCTCCTCCTTGGTCTGACGAAGCTGCCTGAGCTTTGCTGTGAACCAAGCAGGCCTGCTTCCTGCTTTGACTTGTTGGCCTGCTTTGACTCGTTGGTCTATCTTTTCACAGTCTTTACAACAGGTTTAGCAGATTTCAGTTTTTGTGTGTCGGGATAAAATGAACCAGATAGTGATCGGAGAATCCTAAGGCTGCACGGGGAACAGAGTGATATGCATCCTTTAATGTAGTGTAGCAGTGGTCCAGTGTGTTAGTGTCCCTGGTGGGACACTTAATATGCTGTCTGTACTTTGTTTCATGACTGAGGTTTGCTTTGTTAAAGTCCCCAAGAACAATGAGCAGGGAGTCTGGATGTTTTTTCTCCACGTTAGTTATCTGGTCGGCCAGGTGGCCTCACTAACACAGGCCTGAGGTGGAATGTAAACAGCAACCAGAACAAACGAGGAAAAGTCCCACGGTGAATAAAATGGTTTACAGTTTATGAATAATGTCTCTAGGTGAGGACTGCATGATTTCTTCAACACTGTGACGTCAGTGCACCAACCTTCGTTTTTATGGCCTCTCCGTGTTTTCCCGGGATCTCCCATTCGCAATCCGCACGGATGAGATTACAGTAAATCCCGGTAGGTGAAGTGCGCTGTCCGGGATGCGCTCGGTGAGCCGGGATTCAGTGACACAGAGGGCAGCAGATCTGTAGAAGTCCAAGTTAGTTCTGTTGAGGAGCAGCAGTTTTGTTGGCCAGAGAGCGGACATTCACCAGGTGGATTGAAGGGAGCGCAGTGTGAAATCCCCACTGTCTCAGCTTAACCAGCGCGCCTGCTCGTTTTCCCCTACGCCGTTTCTGAACGATCACAAACAGAGCTGCTGCTCCTCCAACTAATAACTCCGGGAAAGTTCCAGGGTCAATAAAGAGCGGTGGGATAGTATGAGCAGTTGAAAGTCCAATGTTTAAGAGCTCTTCTCTGGTAAAAGGATATAGGTTGCGACGTCGGATAACCAAATTCCAACATCAACTTGGTGTTGAATATTGACGTCATCTGACGTGGATTTTTTGTTGGTTTTAAGTTGTGGTGTTCAGTACCCAAAATCCAACGTTTTCCAAATGTCTTGTGCCAGCGTCCTCTTGATGTAGAATACCAACATTTTGTCATGAGGTATGGGAACCAAAACCCAACGTCTGCTAAACATCATGATAGTAACGTCCACACAATGTTAAATTACAACGTCATTAGATGTTGATATTTTGTTGGTATTAAGTCATGGTGTTAAGTAACTTCAATCCAACGTTTTCCAAACGTTTTGTGCC